CAACAACACACTCAGCACATTCGTCAATAACGCCGTGCGTGTCCTTCAAAGGAAACGTATGAGTCGACGTTTCGGGCAATTGTCCTCCTGCCAATAGAACCGATGTTTGTGTTTAGTTTGTTGTCCTTCCCCCGCGGTTGGCTACGTACGGTGCGAAAGAAGTTAACCCCACATAGTACAATAGGGAGGCATCTCACTCCAGAAGCTGCCTCTACACGAGCTGATTTCATCGCTTCGTCTTCTCGGTGGAACTCATCTCGGGAGGGGGTTGATGGCCGACGGTCCAGAACACAAACCTGTCAACTCCTTATCAGTGCCTTCCTTATTACAGACCAATTCAGACCTGATTCGTCCCCGCGTGACCCTTATACATCTCAACGTTATCCTACAAAGTCCCCATCACAAGGGAGAACACACACATAGACACACACAAAATGTGACCGTATTGAAACGGATGTACGCCGTATGGACCTGAAAACTCAATTTCCCCGGACGGCCATGAGAACAACGACGGGAGTGGCAGCCAACAGATGGAACGCGTCCACATTGGCTCAGCCACCGAGGAGATGGATCCGATGAAATCAACTCGCATGGACCGTTACCATCCGCACGGCCGTGAGACACGCATAGCAGCTGCTTGGAGCGGAACGCCTTCGTCAAGCAGTGGATTTGATCCTGAAGACGAAGCCGTTCGATGATGAATTACCATTTCAAGTGGCGAATTGATACAGTCCTAATTAACACGTGATGTGTTGAGTTAGCGCAGTGTAAGGGGCCGTCCATAAATTACGTCACGCACCTGGGGGGGGGTCAGACATTTGTGACTATGTGTGACGAGGGGGGGGTGAGAAATGTGAAGTCACATAAAAATGCGCAACTTTAAATAAATATAGACAACACATTCTACTTAAATAAACTTTTTTTATGTTTTCTCCTACAACATCAGAGTGCAGCGCCACATTAAATACGCACTAGAGCGATTTGAAGCATGTTTTATTTTCTTTGGAAGGAGGGGGGGGGCAGAGCTTTGTGACGTCATATTTGGGGGGTCTGACTTTTTGTGACGCCCTGTGACGAAGGGGGGGGGGGTCAAAAATCCTCCAAAATCGCGTGACGTCATTTATGGACGGCCCCTAACACGCACTGAGCGCGGCGGCTAACAGGGGGGGGGGGGGGTGGTGGTGGAGTTGCTTGGGCGCGGCCCGAGAACGCGGCACAGAGGCGCCCAGTGTGGGGGGGAAGGGGGGGGACGACTGCGCGGGTCGCCCTGTGGTGTAACCGCGTGGCGGGGAGGCATCGGCGTCGTGTTCACCAGGGCCAGCCGCGCGTGCCGGCACGACACGTGCCGCACGCGCACACGGGCGTCAGACAAAGGCCCCCCATTATGGGCTCAGCAGACTTTTTCGGGGGGGCAACTTTTGTTCGAGAGCAGCCATGCAAGGCCGGTGCGGACCACGAGGGGGTGTGGGTGGGGAGGGGTAAGCCAGCAAAACAAATGTTGGCCCGGCCGTCTTTGTCTCCCGCGTGGCGATGTTACTACACCGCACCAGGTACTACATTTGGGGCCGAGTCGACCTAGGGGAGGCCCATGACCCGTTGAGATAATCGTCAATGATGTTGGCCGTGAGCAGGAATCGAAGTCGAGTTTGTAGCGCAGCGCAGCGCTAACCGCTACACCACCGCTCCCCCACCTTGTACCAGAGACAAAGATCCCCCGTGTAGCCTGCACAGACTGTTGGGGCAAGTGCTGTTAGCGAGCACCTATGAAGGCCGGCACGACACACGAGGGGGTGGGTGGCCAGCAACCACGCCCGGCCGCCTTTGTCTCCCCAGTGGCGATGTTTACACACCGCACCTGGTCCTCATTTGAGGCTGAGTCGACCTAGGGGAGGCTCTGGACCGATTGAGATAATCGTCACTGGGGTTGGCCGTGAGCAGGAGTCGAACTCGCTCCCTCCACACTCGGACACATGCAGGTCAGAGGTCGCTGATGTTGATTCGATCTCCCTGCGCGGCAGTGGAAACATTTGTGCACCTTTATTACCCCCCCCCCCCCCGCCTCTATCCATGCAGCAGTATAAAACAAGTTCCCTGAGTTAGTCGTGGTATGTGGTGGGGTAAAGTGTGAGTACTGCCACATCCCCCAAGACGTGGGAAGAGTAGGCCAAACGACCCTCTCTCGACAGAGCTGCCTCGAGCGGGAGGCGCCTTCCGCCAGCAGTGGCGTGAGCGAGCAATTGCAGGGCTGCGCTCTTTAATCCTTCACACAAATACAAAGACAAATGTCCCCCGTGTAGCCTTAACAGACTGTTGGGGCAAGTGCTGTTAGCGAGCACCTATGAAGGCCGGCACGGCACACGAAGGGGTGGGTGGCCAACACCACGCCCGGCCGCCTTTGTCTCCCTAGCGGCGATGTTTACACATCGCACTAGGTACTCATTTTAGGCTGAGTCGACCTAGGGGAGGCCCGGGACCGGTTCAGATAATCGTCACTGGTGTTGGCCTACAAACACACACATACAAACACACATATATACAATCACACACTCGCCCTCGCTCGTAACTTCACCACAGCCACGAAAGCTTCAAATCAAGATGTCATTTAAAAATCATATTGGGGACCCCCGCCCGTAGGCCCAGGCTTTTTCCGCACTTTCCTAGAAATCGTGGCCGCGTCCCGGGTGGCCCGACCCGGCTGTGTGGAGCGGCACGGCGGGGAGGTTGGGCTGGGACGATGATGGGATGGAGCCGAAGCGGATAACGAAGTAGAGTGGGGGGCCCGGCACGGAGTGGGGGGCCCGGCAGAGTGAGGCAGCGAGAGGGGGGCAGGCGTGGGAGACGTTAAGGTCGCCTCTGTGAAGACGGTGGAGGCGAGTTGTGGGGGGGGGGGGGGGACGTGCGGACAGCGCTGGCAGTGATGGCGGAACTCCGCGCCACGTGCCCGGCAGCAGCAGCAACAACAACAACAAAGGCTGCACTGTGCTGTGCTGCTGTGTGCTGCGGGGAGAAGGGAGCAGGGAGAAGGCTGCTGCTGCTGCTGCCACTTGTGGGGAGGCAGAGATACGGAGGCGGTGGTGAGGGGGGAGCAGGGGACACGGGGAGGTGTGATTCATCCCACTCGGGGAGCAGGGGACCCTGGCCAGCCGTGCTGCACACCGCCACATCGGGGGTCACGAGGAGAGTTAGGGGGGTAATGAGTGGAGTTAGGGGGGTAATGATGGGGGATCATGAGTGAAGTTAGGGGGGTAATGAGTGGAGTTAGGGGGGTAATGATGGGGGATCATGAGTGAAGTCATTGGGTGATGATAGTGAGGGGATCTCTGAGGAGCGAGGGGATCATGGGGGGGGAGTGAAGACATGATAATGGATCGTGAGGAGAGGGCACGAGACAAAAAGTGAGGGGAGTCATCGGGGATCATGAGAGACGTCAAGGAATCACGAGTAAGGGGGGTCGTGGGTGACGTCTGGGGTTCACAAGGGAGTGCAGCAGGGGTTGAGAGGATCATGGGATGGGGTCAGTAGTGAATCGTGAGGTAGTGAGGGGATCAGTAGTGAATCGTGAGGTAGTGAGGGGATCACGAGGGGATCAGGAGGGGATCAGGGGGGGGGGGGATCAGGGGCGTTGTTACATAACTCCGTTGAAGCGACTCCCCCGTGAGCCATCCAAAGCAGCGCGGAGCTGAGGGAAACATTGACTTAGCGGGTTTAATGTCATCGCCACTGGGGTGGGTGGGGTGGGTGAGTGAGTGAGGGTGGTGGTGGGGTGAGGCTGTGAGGGGGGGTGAGGGTGGTGGTGGGGTGAGGCGGTGAGGGGGGGTGAGGGGGGTGAGGCGGTGAAGGGGGTGAGTGAGGGTGGCGGGGTGAGGCGGTGAGGGGGGTGAGGGGAGGTGGTGGGGTGAGGGGGGGGTGTTGAGTGAGGGTGGTGGGGTGAGGCGGTGAGGGGCGGTGAGGGGGTGAGTGAGGGGGGTGAGTGAGGGTGGCGGGGTGAGGGGGGTGAGGGGAGGTGGGGGGGGGGTTGAGTGAGGCTGGTGGGGTGAGGGGGATGAGTGAGGCTGGTGAGGGTGAGGCGGTGGTGGGTGACCGTGGGGGTGATGTTGGGATGGACCCTGCGGTGGTCCCGGCGGGAGGCGATGTCGAGTCGGTGGGGGGAGCTGAGGGAGGGCGCGGGGGGCTCAAGGCGAGGAGGAGGAGGAGGTCACTAGACGTCTGCCATGGGCGACATTGATGGGAGACGTTCACTAACTCGCGCGAATCTTGACTTAAAGCTTTCGTGACTGCAGGAATTCATAAAAAAATAACAAAAAACGACGAAACGTCCTAGTTTTTTTGTTATTTTTTTGTTCTTTTCTTTGAACCTATCTACGTGACTTTACCGAAAGACCCAAGAATTCCTCGCTTGGTGTACAAGGAGTTCGTGGGTTCGATCCCGACCCTGACGCCTGCCGCGTATTTTGTGTTTCTCTCCTCGTGTGTCGAGGCCCTGGGGGGTTTGTTCCCCCTCCACATTCATCAACATGCGTTTAGAGCATTTGGCTGCGATGAATTTCCACGCGATAAGTTTCTTTCTTGATCTATCATTTGCGACCAGGTCGCTTCTGAAAAATATCTACAAACTGAGTGGACCTTTCCTGGTGACACATTTTTTAATATTTAAATATTTATCTGCTTGGTTCTTTCGGTAAAGTCACGTAGAATGGAAATAATAAAATAATACAAATAAAACATAAAATAATTATCACGACGTTTTATTTTTCTTATTTTATTATTTCCATTCTACGTGACTTTACCGAAAGAACCAAGAAGATGAATCCCTGCAGTCACGAAAGCTTTAAATCGAAATTTTTATATTTAGTTGACGTGATGGCGCAGGTGATGCGAGATGCTATGATCTGGCGCAGGTGATGAAGGTGGCAAGTGATGGGGGGGGGGTGCTGGCGGAGGATGTGGAGAGGTGACGGGGAGGCGGTGCGTGGAAGGTTGTGGAGGGAGGAGGAGGAGGGATGCGAGGGGCCGCGCCGGGGTTTATTAAGGAGCTAGAGGCTGGAGCGGCGCGGAGTTCGGTTCGGGTAGAGGAGGAGCGAGAAGAAGAGAGGAGGAGGAAGCGGAGGAGGCACAGTGCGCGACTTGAGAGGGAGAGACACGCGGAGCGAGTGACGCAGCGATGAGCGGGACTCCCCCACCCACCTCTTCACTCACCTTACCGGCAATCACCTCATCACTCACCTCAACACCACCACCACCACCACGCACTTCTCCACTGACTTCATCAGCACCACGACGCACCTCTTCATCATCACTGAAACCACCACGCACCTCATCGCACTCCTCAACATCGCCCGCTTCTCCACTCTACTCAACCTCACCACTCACCGCTTCACACTCACCACCACACGCCTCTCCACTCTCCTCAACATCCCCGTCGTCGTCGCCGCTCGTGCTGATGAAGACCCTGGGGCTCTGGTGGGTGCTGGTGGCCGCCGCGCTGCTGCGGGCCCCTCCGGTGGGGGCCCAGACCCCCGTGTCCCCCTCCGCGGGGGGCCCCCGGCGGCCGGGCGAGGTGTGGAGGCAGCTGATCCAGTGGGAGAACAACGGGCAGGTGTACAGCCTCCTCAACTCCGGGCCCGAGTACCTGCCCGGGGGCAGCAGCAGCGCCCACAACCAGGGCCGCAACACATTCTGGCTGGGAGCGGGGGGGCAGCAGCCGGGGCAGCCGCAGCTGCAGCAGGGGCAGCAGCAGCAGCTACAGCAGCAGCGTCGACAGCAGCAGCAGCAGCAGGGGTCAAACGGGGCCCGTGGACAGGGACGCAGGCAGACCCCCTCTGCCCCTCGACCCAGCCCAGTGACACAGACCAGAAGAACTGGTGGTGGCGGCGGTGGCGGCAGCAGCAGCAGCTACTGGTGGCAGACCAACTCTGGCTCATGGGCGACCGCACGACCCCACGCGTCTGCCCCGGCCGCGCCGCGACCCCAAGTGGCCTGCACCTCGACCTCAAGTGGCCCCGCCGCGACCCCAAGTGGCCCCCCCGCGACCCCAAGTGGCCGCACCCCGACCCGTGGCCGCACCGCTCGCCGCGCCCCGGACCCAGACGGCCACAACCTCAGCAGCTGCAGCAGCTTCAGCTGCAGCAGCTTCAGTAGCAGCAGCAGCCACGGCCCCGGCGCCTGCACCGCCCCGCAACGCGAGACCCGCCGAGACGCCGGCATCCGTGGCCATACAGGACGGGATGACTGGGAGACAGCAGCAAGGGGGGATGCCGAGGGTGCAGGGGGTCCCCGAGGGGACACGAGCCGGTCAGGGCGTGGGGGATGACCCCAACTCCAACACGTACCGCCACGAGGAGAACCCCTACTACAGGAACCCCTACCCGCCCTTCCTCAGCAACCGCGTGCCGCCCCGGACCCCGCAGAGAACCCGTAAGAAGTTTACCTGTGTGGGGGGGAGGGGGACGGGGGGGGCGGGAGGGGTGTTACGGGGAACTTGCAGGGGTTGGTGTAGGGGGTTCTAAGTCAGGTGGGTTGTGTAGGGGTTCTAAGTCAACGGGGTCTGCGTAGGGGTTCTAAGGGGGTCTGTGTAGGGGTTTTTAGAAATTAACCCCGAGGGGGGCTGTCCCCAGACTCACAACCATTGCTGAATGCTGAACTCCCCCCCCCCCCACCACAACTCCCCTCTGCTCAATTATCCGATGTGTTTGTCGGGTTGTTCGCCACGACGTCTGACGTTCCGCTGCACGTGCCGGGTAAACTTCTTCAGGAACTGAATTTCAACGTTCGGGAATCGTTCCGAACAACAGACGGAAACATATCGGGCAGCTACGCAGCACACGCTGCGTAGCTGTATTGCCCCTATGACATTCTTGTCGTCGGGAGGTCTTATGGTTTATGGTTCTTATAGTGTATTGGTCTTATAGTCTATGGTTCTTATAGTTTATTGTTCCCACTGGCAGTGCCAGGGGGGGTGGCACGTGCCCCCACCCCCAATGATCCGATCGAAATCCCTAATTTCGATCGGATCATTGGGGGTTATTAGTAATAAATCGGCATTTTGCGCCCCCCACTGCCACTGTGTAGCATATTATTACGTGCCAGGGACTCTATGAGATGATAGTCTGAGTCCATAATTGGCGATAAGTAACGGCAAAGCGGTTATAAGGGACTAACAAAATTGTGCGCAGTTGCGTAAACAGCACACGACTTCCCTGAAGGCATCAAAACCTTCAGCGAGCGCGATGCCGATCACACGACGCGGTTCGAATTCAACCCTCGCTCGATGGCTGCGCCATCGACGCACACGCGTCGAATAAAAATCAAGGGACAAGTCCTTACTAACAAGTCCTTACTTACTAACAAGTCCTTACTTACTAACAACTCCTATATCAGTTTTCATTGTTAGAGGGGTTGCCCCCCCTACCTGAAAATCCTGGCTCCGCCATTGATTGTTCCCATATTCTTTGGGTCTTTCGGTATTGTTCTTATAGTCTAGAGTTGGTATAGTCTAGGGTTCTCATAGTCTAGGGTAGGGGTCGACAACCTACATCTCTGGAGCCGCGTGTGGCTCTTCAAGGACGACTTCACGACGTTGTGAATCAAGGACCCCACCGTCTCGCATTGACCACAGTGAATTGCGGCTCTTGAAATATTGCGGGGTTTTATTTCCGAATTCGACAAAAATCGTGTTTTTGCACGACCAGCGACGGAATGAAAACCGGTAAATGCCGATTACCGGTTTGCTGCGCTATACAACAGATATGTCTAGAGACATACAGTTAAGCATACCATGGCTGCGAAACGAAGGCTGCTGCCACAGTGGTGGTACAATAGTGTAATGGTCAGCAACAAACTGGACTTACAACGTCCAGAGGTCACCTGTTCAACTCAATCTCCGGGCGCGGCATTTGAAACAATGGTGGCGGCAGTTGTATTTTGTTTTTATTTAGTTTTTATTATCCCTCCCGCCCCACCGTCTCTGTCCGGCCTCAGCAGTGTGAATGGGCTCGGTGGGGCAAAACGTGGTGGGTACCCTCACCTGGCGCGTGTTACGGCCCTTTGCTCGTTTTGCACCACGGGGGCTGTGCGCTCGAACAGAACGCAAGACGGACAACATCGCATCTCGCTCCGTGACTCATCCTGGCCTTAGCGGTTTGGATAGCACGGCGTCGTTCGTTCGAGAGAGGCTTCTCTCGGTGTGCAAACGCAGTCGTCTGTGGCGACAGTACACCAGCATTGCGGCTCAAGCGAGGGCTTGACTTCTTCTGCTGATGAGAGACACCGGCCGAATGTCGAGACTGGTTCAGAGTAGGGGTTTTTATTGTTGGTGCTTTGTGTTGAACCAATTGGTGCTCAAACGAAAAAAAAATCACTGCCAGTACAGAAGGCCGTGGCGACTTATGGGATGTGTAAAATAAATACTTGTATATTTATCAGAATTAATATTTATACTGGAGGAATCTGATGAGCAACAAAGCTCTTTTTAACACGTCGGCTTTCGCGACCAATATTTTTCATAATAAACGTTTTTGAATTAGATCGCGTTATTTTATAAATAACCAAAAAACGTTTATTATGAAAGCTCTTTTTCACAGATGTCCAGTATATATGTTTTTTCGTTATGTGGAAAACACAGTTATGGGGAGGGAGTCGGAGTTGCCTGCTTGTTTATGCCATTAACATCTGTTTAGAGTTTGACGTCCACTCTTGTGCCCCCTAATGACGTCTTCGATGTCCCCCCATCCTCCACCCCCACCCCAAAACACGAACTCGCGATGCTTGTGCGGGGGCACGCGCAAGGGGGTCCTGCTGCAGAGTATCCACGTGTCCGTGTAAGGGGAGTTGTTTGCGCAAATGGGTCCCTGTGTAGGGATATGAGTCAGCGTTAGGAAACCGTGTTCGGGATGGGGGTCAGTGCTAGAGATTGAGAAGACAGTGTGAGGGGTAAGAGAAAGCGTTAGGGATGGGCGTCCGTGGTAGAGATAGGAGGCAGTGTTACAGACAGGAATTACAAGAGTTACGTATAAGAGTCGGTGGTAAGGATAGGGAGTCAATGGTTGAGATAGGAGAGGAGTCAGTGGCCGAGATAGGAGGCAGTGTTAGTTATAAAAGGTCTGGAAAGGGGTCCGTTTCGCTTTGTGGATTCTGTACAGGAAGTACAGGCAGGGGGTTTCCTCGTAAGGATCTGCATAGGTACGTACCCCCTTGATGAGAGGGGTCACGTTGCGGGGTCTGGGCAAAGGGTTCATACGGGGGGTTTGGGCATCCTTGTGCTCGCCTAAATCTGCCTGTCACGGAGACCGTGTCCGTGCCCTTCGTGACCCCGTGCCCTTCGTGACCCCGTGCCCTTTGTGACCCAATGACCCCGTGCCCCCTAGCTCTGCCTGACCTGGTCCCGGACCCCTACTACATCCAGGTGTCCACCTACATCCAGCGCGCTCACCTCTACTCCCTGCGCTGCGCCGCCGAGGAGAAATGCCTGGCCAGGTGAGGGGAGAAGGAGGGTGAGGGGGGAGGAAATGGTTGGGGGTCTGGGGGGGAAACCCGACAAGGGACACTCACTGACAGCGCGTCTCCCACCTGCTCCCCCGCTCTCCCTGTTGACCCTCTCCCACCTCCTTCCCTCTCCCCTTTCCCCCCACTCCGTCTTTCCCCGCTCCCACCTGCTTCTCAACTCTCACCCTCTTCCCTGCTCTTCCCCTCTTCCTGCTCCCACCATCTCTCCCCGTTCCTTCCTCCTACCGTATATCCTCTCTCCTTGTTCCCCCCCCCCCCCCCCCCCCAGCACGGCGTACCGCCCCGAGGCGGCTGACTACGACGTGCGTGTCCTCCTGCGCTTCCCGCAGAAAGTGAAGAACCAGGGCACCGCCGACTTCCTGCCCAGCCGCCCGCGCGAGGCGTGGGAGTGGCACGCGTGCCACCAGTGAGCCGCACTCCGACAATCGTGCGCCGCGCCGTGCCAGAAACCCCACCACTACACGACAGCACAGACAAAGATCTCCCGTGTAGCCTTAACAGACTGTTGAGGCAAGTGCTGTTAGCGAGCACCTATGAAGGCTGGAACCGCACACGAGGGGGTGGGTGGCCTGCACATCGCCCGGCCGCCTTTGTCTCCCCAGTGGCGATGATTTTACACACCGCACCAGGTACTCATTTGAGGCTGAGTCGTCCTCGGGGCCCCCCAGGACCGATTCAGATAATCGTCATTGGTGTTGGCCATGAGCGGGAATCGAACCCAGATCGCCGGGTTAATAGTCCAGCGCGCTAACCGCTACACTCCCTCTCCCCACAGCAGCACACCACACGCACACGCACATACTCTCCTTCACGCGTGCCGTCAGTGAGTGCGGCGCACAGCCATACTTCACAGATCATGTATCGTGCCCCACCAATACCTCGCCATGCCTTGCCAGTACCCTGCCACAGCGATAACTCACCACACATGCCACAACACCGCAGCGCACCACACACACATAACTCGCACGTGCCGCCAGGAATCGTAGCAGCCTACTCACCATACTGAACTAACATGAGACCTCACCACGTCACGCCTCACCAATTCATATGAACACCTCATGCGTGCCATCAGCGAGGGCACAGCCTCATTCCCCATACTTCACCAAAAACGTAACCTCTCCAAGCTCCACCACTCCTCACCGCACCTCACCTCACCAAATATTTTTGTCCTTAGTTTCTCGCCCAGTAGTTTCCGGGACGCTACTGGGCAGGCTGGAAGTTGGGATTATTAGCGAAAGACACTGCCGCTAGAGTATTGGGTGCAGCTTTCCATAGTAACCCTTTATTATTGCACCCTACATTAATCTATAATCCCGTGAACAGGTTTAGGACAAAATAAGGTGAGGTTGATGTGGCGCGTTTGAGTAATTTCCCAACAACATTCGGGACTGTTCCGGCTGAATTTCAATACTGCCGCTACCTCACCAGTTATCCAGGACGCCAACAAATATCACGCTTGCCTCACCATGTCGCCAGTACCTCACCAGTACCTCACTCCACCTACACACGCATGCTACCAGTGAGGGCAGCAACTCACCATATTTAACCAATAACAGACCACACCTCACCAATACCTCAACACGCCTCCTTCCTCATAGGGTTACCACCTGTCCTGATTTTCCCAGGATCGCCCTCTTGTTGAGATTGGTCGCTGCTGCCGCTGCCACTGCCATCCGAGGAAATCTATAACTCTTCCGAGGACGTCGAAAGTCCCAGTTTGTGTAGATTTCTTAACGATAACGATGACGGTGGCAGTGACGGTGGTGGTGGTACGTCACTCCAGACATTGCATTCACGCTCTCTTCTCCGCTAGTGTGAGATATTCTTCCTCTGCTTATGACAGGCGCCGGTGTTTTTGAGAGGTGGCAACCCTAACTACTTCACCGCAACTCACCACGCCTCAGCATTTCCTTGCGAGCGCCCCATCTCACCCAATAACACCAACCGCAATTCCCACCACACCCCTCACCACGCCCTGACCACATCTCACCACACACGTCACCACACACCTCACCACACACCTCACCACGCCCTGACCACACCTCACCACACACCTCACCACACACCTCACCACGCCCTGACCACACCTCACCACACACCTCACCACACACCTCACCACGCCCTGACCACACCTCACCACACACCTCACCACACACCTCACCACACCCCTCACCACGCCCTGACCACGCCTCACCACACACCTCACCACACACCTCACCACACACGTCACCACACATCTCACCACACACCTCACCACACACCTCACCACACACCTCACCACATCTCACCACACACGTCACCACACACCTCACCACACCCTGACCACGCCTCACCACACACCTCACCACACATCTCACCACACACCTCACCACACACCTCACCACGCCCTGACCACATCTCACCACACACGTCACCACACACCTCACCACACCCTGACCACGCCTCACCACACACGTCACCACACACGTCACCACACACCTCATCACGTGTCAACCACACCCGTCACCATACCGCTCCCCATATTTCACCGACTCCCCCCACGCCCCCCTCCCCCCACACCCCACCACAGACACTTCCACAGCATGGACGAGTTCAGCCACTACAACCTGCTGGAGGCCGGCTCGGGCCGCAAGGTGGCGGAGGGCCACAAGGCCAGCTTCTGCCTGGAGGACACGACCTGCGACTACGGCTACCGCAAGCGCTACGCCTGCACGGCGCACACGCAGGTGACCCGCCGGCCATCTGCCGCCCGCTGTGGCCTCTGGCACATGCGTGCACGCGTGCGCAATGATTAGAAAATTGCGCTACAAACCTAGCATCGCGATTTCGATTGCCACTCATGGCCAGCATTGTTGACAAATAATTGAACCTCCCCTAGGTCCACTCAGCCTGAAATGAGTACCTGGTGTGGGTTGTAAACATGAGCACTCGGGAAACTAAGGTGGACGGGTGTGATGGTGCCCACCCACCCTCTGGTGTGCCGTGTTGTCCTTCAGGCTTTCCGGGGTCTTTGTTGAAACAGGGAAATGGTGCCGATGTGGGCAGAGTGGAGGAGTTACCTTACCTAGGCAGTGTGCTTATAACCAGCTCTGGTTTAGCAACATCGGTTTAATTTTGAATCAATTTAAGCGGAATAACATTTTCATCCGTTGCGTAACGCTGCGTGGAAGCTACCTGACCGATCTCTTCACACACAGCTCCATGTCCTATCTGCCACAGTTAAGCCCTCCCTTCTCTATGCTTGGGAATACCTGGACCCCTTGACTTGAAAGAGTCAGGCTCGCCTGCCTCTGATCCTCCCTGGGTTTAACCAGATTGGATTGTGTGAGGAGCTCCCAAATCCACGAAAAAACTGGACACAGTCCCATCAATGAGCTCCTCCCGCAGGCGAGGCTACGTTGGCTGGGTTCTGGAGCCCGCATGCACAGCCTCCACATGCCCAATAAGCTTCTGTTTGACCAGATAGAGGAGGCTAAATGGACATGGCATGGGCTACAGAATAGCATTGATGACCGGTACCAGCGGTGTCAAGATTGGACTCTATGGAGGAGGCTCTGAAAGGACACTACTGGGCATTTGGAGGCAGTCGCCCTCCAACAACAACGGAGAGCAGAGGAGCGATGCTCACAACAACGAGCGGAGCGCCGGGTGGCTACAATGCAGCGAGTTGGCAAAGTGTGGAGCATAGGTGGTGCTCATTGGTGAATCGTGCTCGTTGTTTATCTCTCTGTATCTCTCTCTTCATATCTCCGTGTGTGGTCTCCTCTCCCCCGTGTCTCCCTGCCCCAGGGTCTGAGCCCCGGCTGCTACGACACCTACAACGCCGACATCGACTGCCAGTGGATCGACATCACCGACGTGCGGCCCGGGAACTACGTGCTCAGGGTGAGCGGCCGCCCCTGCTCCCCCGGATCCTCGCCTGCTCCCATTGCCTCTCCCTGCTCCCCCTTGACCACCACCCGATCCCCCTTGCTTCCACGTACAACCCCTGCTCCCCTCTGCTATCCCCCTGATCCTCCTTGCTCCCCTCTGCTACTCGTCAATCTGCCCCTACAGTCGCTTACTGCCTCCGGCTCCCTCTGGCTTCCCCATGTCTCTCCCACACACGCCCCTCCTCCCCGCCCCCGCTCCGCTTTCACGTGCCCACGCGTGCCAGTACCGTTACATCGGCAGCCGCGTAGGGGGGGGGGGGGTTTCCAGCCTTCGCGAGGCGCGATCGTCAGGGCCGGCCGCCGCTAGCGATGGGAGTTGACGAACCACCACAGACGTGGCCGATTAGAACTTGCGTGCGATTAACCTGCTCGGGCAATCGAGTCATCCCAGGGTTGACAACCTGTCCAACCCAGTGTAAGAGCAGCAGGGGATGGTGCTCGGTGCTGTCGGGGGGCTGCTGTGCACGGGCGCTGCCAGTGAGAACGCCCGCAGTGCGGCGGATGCGGCCGGTGCGGGAGGAATGATGCTGGAAGCTGTGGGATGATGTGCGGTGTCTGCACAGAGTCCAGGAGCGGTGGCGTAGGAGAGCACGGTTGGCGATGTGGGGCGCTCGGTTGGTGCATGGCAGTGTGCACGCGTGCGTCTGTATGTAGGCTTCAGTGCGTGTGCGTGCACGCGTGCATGTGTGTGTAGGCCTGCGTGTGTGTGTGTGGGGAGCGGTAGTGTAGCGGTTAGCGCGCTGCGCTATGAACCCGGCGACCCGGGTTCGATTCCCGCTCACGGCCAACACCAGTGACGATTATCTGAACCGGTCCTGGGTTTCCTCTAGGTTGACTCAGCCTCAAATGAGTACCTGGTGCGGTGTGTAAACATCGCCACTGGGGAGACAAAGGCGGTTGGGCATGGTGCTGGCCATGCACCCCGTCGTGTACCGTTCCGGCCTTCATAGATGCTACTTGCTAACAGCACTTGCCTCTACAGTCTGTTAAGGCTATACGGGGATGTTTGTCTTTGTGTGTGTGCGGCTTATGGAGAAGCGGCGGTGCAGTGGTTAGCGCGCTTCGCTGCAAATCTGGCCGATTCCCTCTCACGGCCAACCATCAGCGACAAATATCTGAACTGGTCCTGGGCCCCTCCCCGAGATCGATTCCGCCATAAATGAGTTCCAGGTGCGGTGTGTAAACATTAGCACTGGACAGACAATGGTGGCCGGGCATCGTGGTGCCACCCACCCTCTCGATTCATAGTTGCTCGCTAACGGCACTTGCCCCAAGAGTCTGTCAAAGGCTATGGGGGGGCGGGGGGGGGAGTTTGACTTTGTTGAGTGTCTGTGTCTATATGTTTGCGAGGTGTGAGTGTATGTGGGTTTACGCGCGTGTGTGTGTAGCGTGGTTGGCGTGGGACTCCTGCCTCTCGCTATAGAATCCCCCCCCCCCCCCGCTTGCTCTGTAGCCTGGGCACCCGAGCCACCCTGGCCCATGTGCCCTGGCGCAGTTGCACCGCCTACACACACTCGCGGAGACCCGTAGAGCAAAGCCGTGTGAGCTCACTGTCGCAAAGTAAATGCAATTATCCCCCCCCCTCCGCTCTCTCTTGGTTCAACAAAATAAACTTCAACATCACAAGCCGTAATGAAACTGCAGCTCTGCACACGGGATTCCTGGCCGAGCGAGCGGATGACGTCGGCGGGCTTTGTCAACGTGCAGCGGGGGAGACGTCCCGTTTGGTGGCAGTGGGGGAGTGGTGGCGCGGTTGTAATGCTCGCGCCTCACAGCGAAAAGAGTCTGGGTTCGATTCCCACCTCGGGCGCTTTTCTGCCTAGCGTTTGTATGTTCTCTCCCTCTGTTTAGAATCTATTTTAGTCATACTGGAGGAATTCGATGAGCGAAAAAAATATTTTTCACAGATGTCCAGTAGTTTCACAGATGTCCACTAGCTCTGTTCTGCGTGGAGTTCCTCCTGGTGCTCCAGTTTCCTTCCAGAGCTTGAAACAAACCCCACGCAAGGTTACTGGTATTGGGAAAAACATCCGCAACACTGAAAACATTTATCTGAAAATTACTCGAATGGGATTACAGACAGCAGCAGCAGCGCGGCTAGCTACGTACGGTGCGAAAGAAGTTCAACACGCACACATACAACGTCGCACCCCTACTGTGACAAGCCTGGCAGGACCCTCCTGAAAAAGAGTCATAAGTCATAATGAGAGAAAGTTTATAAAATCCCCCCCCCACACACCTCTATTCACTGAGCAGTATCAACAGGTCCTCCACAATTAATTCAATCAGCAGGTCACGTGCAGTGGGTACAAGTGTGGGCACTTCCTCTAAGGCATCTAGCCAGCAAGGTGGCGTACGAATAATTGGCCAAATGCCCTCCTCTAGAGGGGCTCTCTGGAGTTTCCTCAAAGCGGAGGCCTCTTCCGCCAGCAGAGGTGTGAGCGGGCAATTGCAGGGGCTGTGCTTCTATCTTACCGCTGATCTGCAGAGGACACCGCTGAGGTTTGCAAATCTTTCCACCGCATTGAGCCGCGTGACATGGGCTGCGGCGGCAGTGTCATTGCGCCAGGGGCCCGTAGGGGAGGGGCGGCGATGGGCGGGGGGTGAAAGTTGCGTTCGGGGGTGGCGTGGGGTTATTTGTCTCCTTGAGTTCATGCCGAACAAGCCACACGGCCATTGCTCGCCAGGCTACGCAAGGCGAGGGGAGCGTGACGGCCACGCGGCGGGGCTCTGGCCACACCCGTGCCACTTGTAGCTGCGCCCGTGGCGGCCGACAGCGCTCGCCCCGACAGCCTGTGGAGGCTGCAGGGGGTGAAGCTTGCGTGTGAGCGGTGGTGCAGCGGTTAGCGCGCTGCGCAAGGAACCCGGCGACCAAAATTATATTCCCGCTCACAGCCAACACCAGTGACGATTATCTGAACTCAGCCTCACATGAATATACCTAGTGTTATGTGTAAACATACTCACTGGGGAGACAAAGGCGGCCGGGTATGGTACTGGCCACCTATCTTGTGTGTTGTGCCGGCCTTCGTGTGTGCTCGCTACTAACTGCACTAACTGCCTCGCCTTGGTAATACAGGAGGTCGTGGGTTCGATCCCAACCCTGACACCTGCTGTATATTTGGAGTTTGCAAATTCTCCGCGTGATCACGTAGGGTTTTTCTCTGGGTGCTCTGGTTTTTCCCTCCACATTTAGAAACATTTTATTTGGGTGCTGTACATTAACACACGATAAGAAGCCACTTTGTTTAGCTATCATTTGCAAAGAAAACTTTATAGCTCAGTGGGCCTCACCTGGTAAAATAAAAAAATAGTTTTGTGGTTTGTATTCGCCTCAAAAGTCTGTTAAGGCGATAACACGCGGGGGGGGGGAGGTCTTTATCTGTGTGTGTGTGTGTGCCCCACAGCTGCACGTGAACCCCAACTACAAGGTGCGCGAGTCGGACTACTCCAACAACATCGTGCGCTGCGACGTGCGCTACACGGGGAGGTTCGCGTCGGCCACCAACTGCCGCATCTCCCCGTAAGAGTCTGCACACACACGCACACACACACACACGCACAAACGCACACACACACGCACACACGCATACACACACACGCACACACACGCACACGTACACAAAGACAAAGATCCCCCGTATAGCCTTAACAGACTGTAGCGGCAAGCGTTGTTAGCGAGCACACACACACCCAATAACAACCGCCGTCCGCCACTAAGTGGCAGTGACGTCAACACGATGCTTGTGCCAGGCTATGTGCACGTTGAGGCCACGTCAAGTGTCGAACGCCCGCTGGCAGGAGGTCACGGGGCAGACCCATGTGCCACGGGTCAACTGACTGAGATGACTGGCCGATGCACCACCTGTGCCCGTACTGTGCCAACTTGCTGTGCTTTAGCCACCCGGTGCTCCGCTCGTTGTTGTGAGCGTCTCTCTTCCGTTGCCCAGTAGCGTCCTTCACAAGCCTCCTCCACAGAGGCCGATTTTGACACTGCTGGTACCAGTCATCGGCAAGTCCACTCAGCTCCACATCCTCCTCTACCACATCACTCCATCTCTTCTCTAGCCCGTGCCGTGCCCGTTTAGCCCCCTTGATCCGGCCGAACAAAAGCTGTTTAGGCATGCGGTGGCTGGGCATGCGGGCTACATGACCCAGCCAGCTTCCCATGTCTCCCCCCACACATGCGGTGCGCGAGTCGGATTACGCCAACGCAGCCTTGCCTGCCGGAGGAGCTCACCGATGGGACTTTGTCCAGATCTTTCAAGAATATGTGAGCTCCTCACACAATCCAGCCTGGTTAAACCCAGCATGGATCATAGGCAGGCCAGCCTAAATGTTTCTAACCGGCGAAGATGTTCCATTAGGGGGGTCCATGTTTCGCCAGCGTAGAGAAGGGAGGGAATGACTGTGGCCAAGAAGACCTGAAGCTTCGTGTGGAGTGGCAGATCAGGTAGCTTCCACACAGCGTTACGCAACTGATGAAAAGATAATGTCGCTCGACTGATTCGGAGTGAGACCTCTGTTGTCAAACCGGAGCCAGTCATGAGCACACTGCCCAGGTTCGGAAAACTCTCCACTCTCTCCACAACTGCCCTATCACCAATTGGGAGTTGTGGGGGTGGAGTGTCCGTTCTTTCCCCTAATGATGGTAATAGGTGTGGCGCTGAAGGTTACTTTTTTGATGGAATTAAAGAGCGATTTGTGATCGCGGGCCATTGAGGCAGACTCCATCTCCTCAGCAATCCACGACCACCAACCATCCTTGCAGCGCCTCACGGCTCTCCGAACCTCCGAGCGAAGGCTGCGGTAAGCCTCCTCATTCTCTGACATGGGATGCTGTAAATTATGAGAGTGGGCCTGTCGCTACTGGTCCAGCTCCCAACAGAGGAGTGGCAGCCTCTCCTCCACAGTTAGCGTTCGAACATTCCACGTGGCCATCCGTAGTGGCTTTTTGTTGTTTCTGGAGGAGCCCCGAGGGTAAGGATTCAGTCTCCTGGCTCCGCCAAATGGGGTTTGGCCATGAGACGTCATAGACGCCTGTCTCCCTGGGGACTCCGGCACAAGCTTAATAAATGTTTTGCCTCGTAGTTTAGTGGTATTGAAGGTGGAGGGTTACCAGCCCCTCGCACCCGTCCAGAGCCCCCATTTGGTCGCTGTGGTGGTTACAATCGCCATTAAGGGAAAGGGCCAATCTAAATTGGCCCACCCCCCACGGCACTGCCCACCACAACGTTGCAGTCCGCCACCACGAGGAGGTAGAGGGTTGTTTTTTGCCGCACACACGCACGCACACTCGCACGTTCACACGTATGCACACACAAAGACAAAGATCCCCCGTACAGCCTTAACAGATTTTGGGGCAGGTGCTGTTAGCGAGCACCTATGAAGGCCGGCACGGCAGTCAAGGGGGTGGGTGGCCAGCACCATGCCCGGCCGTCTTTGTCTCCCGAGTGGCGATGTTTACACACACGGACACACACTCACACTGACACACACACACACACGTACTCACAGTCACCCCCCTCCTCCCTGCCCATAGATACTGAGAGGCGAGGACCTGGGACTGATACTTGAAGACCCCGCCTGCCCCCCTCCTCGCCTGCCCCCCTCCTCACACGCCCACATCCACCCCGGATTCTGTTGTCCGGGATCTACATGGGGAGAAGGTGGGGGAGGGGCTGGAAGGTGGGGAGCGACGATGCGAGTCAACACAGCTGAGGCAGCAACAGCGCGGACATCACCATCACCCAACGCCTTCGCACCTCCCCACGCCGCCCCACCAACCCCACACACCCCACACACCCTGCCTCGCCTGCTGCTGCTGCTCCACATCCTGCCCTCTCCCTAAACACTGCCCCCTCCATAAACACTGCCCTCTCCCTAAACACTGCCCTCTCCATAAACACTGCCCTGTCCATAAACACTGCCCCCTCCATAAACACTGCCCCTCCATAAACACTGCCCTGTCCATAAACACTGCCCTGTCCCTAAACACTGCCCCCTTCCTAAACACTGCCGCCTTCCTAAACACTGCCCCCTTCCTAAACACTGCCCTCTCCATAAACACTGCCCTGTCCCTAAATACTGCCCTGTCCATAAACACTGCGTCCTCCATAAACACTGCCCTGTCCATAAACACTGCCCTCTCCCTAAACACTGCCCTGTCCATAAACACTGCCCTCTCCCTAAACACTGCCCTGTCCATAAACACTGCCCTCTCCCTAAACACTGCCCTCTCCCTAAACACTGCGCCCTCCCTAAACACTGCCCTGTCCATAAACACTGCCCTCTCCATAAACACTGCCCTGTCCATAAACACTGCCCTGTCCATAAACACTGCCCTGTCCATAAACACTGCCCTGTCCATAAACACTGCCCTCTCCATAAACACTGCCCTCTCCCTAAACACTGCCCTGTCCATAAACACTGCCCTGTCCATAAACACTGCCCTGTCCATAAACACTGCCCTCTCCATAAACACTGCCCTCTCCCTAAACACTGCCCTGTCCATAAACACTGCCCTGTCCCTAAACACTGCCCTGTCCATAAACACTGCCCTGTCCATAAACACTGCCCTCTCCATAAACACTGCCCTCTCCATAAACACTGCCCTCTCCATAAACACTGCCCTGTCCATAAACACTGCCCTGTCCATAAACACTGCCCCCTCCCTAAACACTGCCCTGTCCATAAACACTGCCCTGTCCATAAACACTGCCCTGTCCATAAACACTGCCCTCTCCATAAACACTGCCCTGTCCATAAACACTGCCCCCTCCCTAAACACTGCCCTGTCCATAAACACTGCCCTGTCCATAAACACTGCCCTGTCCATAAACACTGCCCTCTCCATAAACACTGCCCTGTCCATAAACACTGCCCCCTCCCTAAACACTGCCCTGTCCATAAACACTGCCCTGTCCATAAACACTGCCCTGTCCATAAACACTGCCCTCTCCATAAACACTGCCCTCTCCATAAACACTGCCCCCTCCCTAAACACTGCCCTTTCTTACCACACCACCCTCTCTCTAAACAACTGCCCTCTCCCCAAACCAGCGCCCCCTCTTTTGTTGGCAATTTGTTCCCAGCGCGTATCCCGACGACGGCGACAATCGCGCCGTCGTCGAGGGGGAACGGAGAAGGGATTCGGAAATCTCGCAGGGGGCCGTGCGCCCCGGGGAGTCGGGGGAGACATCGCAGCCGGGGCCTCCAGCAGCCGGGGCCTCCAGTAGACGGGGCCTCCAGTAGCCGGGGCCTCCAGTAGCCGGGGCCTCCAGAAACTCTCCGGCCAGGTGGCCCCGCGGCAGCAGAGCCGGGTCGTTCAAATCCATGGCCGGGGTGGGTATGGGGGGTGGGGGTTGACTCGCTCGGCCCATCATCCCCTCGGGGGGTCTATAAAAAGAGGACCGTTTTGCGCGTCGGTCAACAGTGGTTGTTCTGTGGGGAGACTCGCCCTCGTCATACACATTGGGAATGTCCACAGCTGGCTCAGGGCTGTGAAACTGGCGATGAGCACCGCAGACCCCCCCCCCGTCTGAGGAGCAGGAGATCTCTTGGGACTTTTTGGCTCCTGAAAAAAAATACTACGAGTGGCCTGGGAAGGGGTGCACCTTCCCACGCGTCCTGCTGCGAGATGTTTCCGCACGATGGATGAATTACTTTCTTTTAAATTCCCAGAGCTGGAGTTTGGCCCAGTTTATTTGAAAACCAAATTTTTATGTCATAGGTGTTTTTTTTGTTTGTTTGTGCAATCATTGGTGACCGGGCTGAGACCATTCAGTTTAATCAGAACTTCACATGTCTAATCATTCTAGATCTGAAGTTTTCGTGACTGCAAGGATCCATACTCTTTGGTTATTTCAGTAAAGTCACGTAGGTGAAAAAATAAAAATAAAAAATAAGAATAAAATTAGAAGTAACTAAATTAATTTAGTTATTTATATTTCTAAATTAATTTAGTTATTTTTGTATTCTTATTTTTCACCTACGTGACTTTACCAAAAGAACCAAAGAGTATGTATAATCATGTGGGTCTTTATGTGAGGCTATGGGTCTCTATCTGAGTCTATGTGTGTAGGGTCTCTCTGTGAGTCTATGGGTCTCTGTGTGAGGCTGTAGGTTTCTCTGTGAGTCTATGAGTCTCTGCGTGAGTCTGTGGGTCTCGATTAGAGTCTTTGTGGGTATTTTAATGAGTATAGGGTTCTCTGTGTGAGACTGTGGGTATCTATTAGACTATATGGGTCTCTATGCTAGACTATTGGTCTCTATTCAAGTCTCTGTGGGTATCTTAGTGAGTCTAGGGGTCTTTGTGTGAGGCTATGGGTCTTTGTGTGAGTCTATTGGTCTCTATGTAAGTCTATGGGTCTCTATGTGAGGCTATGGGTCTGCGTGTGAGTTTATAGGTCTCCGTGTGAGTCTATGGGTCTCTATGTGAGTCTATGGCTCTCCGTGTGAGTCTATGGGTCTTCGTGTGAGTCTATGGGTCTCTATGTGAGTCTATGGGTCTCTATGTAAGGCTATGGGTCTCTGTGTGAGTCTATGGTTCTCTATTCGAGTCTATGTGGGTCTATTAGTGAGTCTTAGGGGTCTCTCTGTGAGGCCATTGTACTCCGTATGAGTTTATGGGTCTCTATGTGAGGATATTGGTCTCTATGTGAGTCTATGGGTCTCCGTGTGAGTCTATGGGCTTTGTGTGAGTCTATGGGTCTCTATGTGAGTCTATGGGTCTCTATGTGAGGCTATGGGTCTCTATATGAGTCTATGAGTGTATATGTGAGTCTATGGGTCTCCATGTGAGGCTATGGGTCTCCGTGTGAGTCTATGGGTCTCTATGTGAAGCTATGGGTCTCTATATGAGTCTATGAGTGTCTATGTGAGTCTATGGGTCTCCATGTGAGGCTATGGGTCTCTGTGTGAGTCTATGGGTCTCCATGTGAGGCTATGGGTCTCCGTGTAAGTGACCGGACTGAGGCCATCAACTCACGACGCTGTGAGAACTTCGGTGTAACCACAGGCGGCTGAACCCTGGATTCGAACCCAGGATCTCAGCAGTGCCGACCTCTGAGCCTCACCTCCACCTTGCCTGCCCTCTCTCCCTCTCTCTCTCGCCAAACCGTGCCCTCTGTCTAAACCTTGCCCTTTCTGCAACCACCCTGCTCTCTTTATAAACCCTGCACTGCCCTCTCTGCTGCCCCAGCAGCCCCTTGATTGTTGCCTTGAGCTGCTCTCTGCCTAAGCTCTATTTATCTCGAGATGTAAACCCTCAACCTCGGCATTATGATTAATTATTATTGATATTGTAATTATTATTGTTGTCAAGGTTACAGTGTTACGATTCTTGTTCTTGCAGATGTTGTTTAAGTGTTGTTCTGCTGACTGAGCAGAACAGTATGTGTGGTGTGTTCGCCTGTGCGTGTGTGTGTTCTCCTCTGTGTGTGTTCTCTTGTGTGTGTGCGTGTCTGTGTCATCTTGTGCGTGAGCGTGTCTGTGTCATCTTGTGTGTGAGCGTGTGTGTGTTCTCTCGTGTGTGAGCGTGTGTGTGTTCTCTTGTGTCTGTGTCTGACTGTGTCTGTGTGTTCTCCCGTGTGCGTGCGTTTGTCTGTATTCTGTGTGCATCTGATCGTGTGTGAGCGTGCGTGGAGTGGTGGCGCAGTGGTTAGCGCACTGCGCTACAAACGCAGCAACCTGAGTTGGATTCCCGCTCGCAGCCAACATTAGTGACGGAATATATCTGAATCGATTCTGGGCCTCCACTTGGTCGACTCAGCCTTAAATGAGGACCTGGTGTGGTGTGCAAACATCAGCACTGGAGAGACAAAGGCGGCCGGGCATGGTGTTGGCCACTCACCCCCCTCGTATGCCGTGCCGGCCTTCATAGGTGCTCGCTAATGGCACTTTCCCCAACAGCCTGTGCAGGCTACACAGGGGATCTGTGTCTTTGTGGGCGCGTGTGTGTATGCCTGCGAGTCTGCATCTGTATGTGCCTGTGCGCATCTGTGTGTCCATTGTGTGTGTGTCTGTATGGGCACACTTGTCTGTGCATGTGCGCGTTTGTGATGTGTGTGCACTTGTGTGTGCGTTCGTAGTGTGTGCGTGTTCGTGGTGTGTGTGTGTTCGTGGTGTGTGTGTTCGTGGTGTGTGTGTGTTCGTGGTGTGTGTGCGTGGTGTGTGTGCGTGCGTGGTGTATGTGTTCGTGGTGTGTGTGTGTGGTGTGTGTGTGTGTGCGTGCTGTGTGTGTGTGCGTGGTGTGTGTGCGTGGTGTGTGTGTGCGTGGTGTGTGTGTACGTGGTGTGTGTGTCTGCGTGGTGTGTGTGTGTTCGTGGTGTGTGTGCGTGGTGTGCGTGTGCGTGGTCTGTGTGTGTCTTCGTGGTGCTAGGCGCCCCCTCTGCTGCAATGATGGTGCGGTGTGCGTTATTCACTCTCTCTTTAAAGGTGCTACGAGCGGAGTTGAGGTGGAGGGGTGGGGAAGAGGGGGAGCCGAGTTGGGGGGCTCACGAGGTGTGGGGGTTGAGGCAATGGGCCCCCACACGCCACACAGTCCCACTCTGTGTTACCATGAGCCCCCCCTCCCCATGACCCCCCCCCTTCACCTGAACACCGCCCATGACGTCACTGGCGCGACGCTAATTAATGTATCCGGTAATTAAAGGTCCAATGAATTGCGTGACTCAGCCCACGTGTGTACGTGAGTGCGTGTGACGAGGTGTGTGTGTGTGGACTGACGAGGTGTGTGGACTGACGAGGTGTGTGACGAGGCAAGGTCTGGGGAGTGGGTTGGTGGTGGAGTTGGGGGTGGGGGAGGCACAGCCCAGGAGGTTGGCAAGCTGCAGCTCGGGACGGGCTGCTGAGTGATGCAATGTCTGCGTGTGTTCATAAACTATGTACTAGTTTTTATTTTATCAGGTGAAGTCCCACTGAGCTATGTGGCTCTTCCTCATAAGCGACCTGGCCACAGTTGATATCTCAACGAAGTGGCTTATCACGTGGACATGTAGCACAGCCAAATACTTCGAACGCGTGATGTTGATTATCAACGTGGAGGAAAAAACCTGGAGGACCCAGAGAAAAATCCACGCGACCACGGGGAGAGAGACACGCAAACTCCAAATATACAGCAGCAGGCGCCAGGGTTAGGATTGAACACACATGTTCCTGTATACCACGCGAGGTAGTTAACATCTCCTAGCCACCGTAGCAGCACGTGCATTGCGTTTTGTACCGAATTCGAAACAAATTGTGGCTTATCTTCTTGGTTCTTTCGGTAAAGTCACGTAGAATGGAAACATGTTTTATTTTTATTATTATTTTATTATTTCCCTTCTACGTGACTTTACCGAAAGAACCAAGAAGATGAATCCATGCAGTCACGAAAGCTTGAAATCGAAATTTAAATTGTGGCTTAATTCTAGATTTGAAGTTTTCGTGACTGCAAGAATCCATACTTTTGGTTCTTTCGATAAAGTCACGTAGATGAAAATAAAACATTTTTAAAATCACGACGTTTCGGAGGCAACACAAGCTTCCGTCATCAGGTGGGACAACCACAGCAAAAAAACTGAATTGTGCCTCTTATTCTGTTTGCCGACCGCTGGTATCGTGTGCCACATCTTGACAAGCTAAGCGGGATAGAGACTGGAGCAGTGGCTTGCGTGGGGCGACCATCCAATGCAGAACACAGCGGGCGCATTCGGCTGCTGCGGGCTCCGTGCCAGCTGCCACCACACAGGGTGGTGCACTGCTCGCTCTGAGAGATTGAGAACGGCAACTCCGCTCGCGTCGTGCCCATGACGCCGCCGGCGACGACGATTGGAGAACAAAACGTGGCCAACCCCCCACCCACGTACCGGATTATAAGACGCACCACCCCCGAACGTTTGCTCCGACAATAAGGGACGCCTTATAATCCAGTGAATGCGGTAATGCAATCAATGCAATCCCCGTTTCCATCCACTGCTGGATAAAGGTCTCCCTCCACGCTGCCAACCCCCTCCCCCCACCACGCAATAAACGGATGCGCACAAAAAGACAAAGATCCCCGTGTAGCCTTAACAGACTGTTAGGGCAAGTGCTGCTAGCGAGTAGCACATGTGAAGGCCGGCACGGCACACGAAGGGGTGGGTGGCCAGCACCACGCCCTGCCGCCTTTGTCTCCCCAGTGCTGATGTTTGCACACCACACCAGGTACTCATTTGAGGCCGAGTGGCCGCGTGTCTCACACGTGTTTGTGACTGACAACACTGTGTGTGTGTGTGTCCTTAAAAAGCAAACTGCATAACGGGAGACGTTTCGGGCAATTGCCCTTCTTCATGGCACATGGCGTGCTATGAATGAGGACCATTGTCCGAAACGTCGCCTGTTGAAAACCGACCACATTCATCAAAGGAGACGACTACAAAACACACACACACACACATTTGCAAACGCGGTTTGCAGCGGCAGATACTTGGTTTCCGGGCGGCTAATTCAATGCTTCCCGAATACCGTAAGAGCCAAACGTGCACGGGGTGTCCCAGCGTGGAGCAACGTGGAGCAATCGGCATCTCATTTGCATCTCATTTGCATCTCATTTGCATCTCATTTGCATCTCATTTGCATCTCAGATTCTGTCGCTCGCCGTTTCCATGCGTCCATCGTGTGCCGTGGGAATGCCCCCCCTCCCCGCCACCCCCAGAGTTCAAATCCACGTTTGCGGTTGACCCAGCCCATCATCCATACCTCCGTCGGGGGGTCGATACACTGAGTAGCACTTCGTGGGGAAGTCAACAGCGATTGTTCTATGGATATACTCGCCCCCGCCACAGGAATGTGGAATTGCCGTCACTGGGTCAAGGCATTAAACACCCCTCCAGAGCTCATTCGAGCCGAACATCGCTTTGATTTGTTTAACTGTAATCCCCTTTCACTACCCCCTGGAATCCCCTCGATCCCATCCCCCCTGACACGTGACGGGGGAGTCGCGTGACGTCACAACACGGGCACGTGGCGAGCCCAGGTCGGGGGTGGGAAGGGGGGTCCTCACGCAGCCCCCCACCCACAACACCAACGCTACCACCGCCACTCAGACCGTGATGTATCCACTGCTGGATGAAGGCCTCCTCTGCGAGCCGCCAACCCCCACCCTCCTCCCGGAGTATAAGACGCTCCTCCACCCTGTAACGTGAGCTCTAGAATAAGTGCACCTCCTAATCCCGTGAAGCAATCCGCCTCGCACCGACACACGAGGCGATGCCATCGCTCCGTCTTCCCGGCGGACGTTCCATCCCTCGGAGCTACGGGTGAGAGACGAATGAGGGGAGGGGGGTCTGGTGGGTGAGGCGGGGCGGGGGGGGGGGCTGTGTCCAGTGTTGGAGGCTGGAGGGGGGTGAGTGGGGGGGTGATGGTGGTGAGGGGGTGTAAGTGCTGTGGGTGAGGCACTGCCGGGGGATGGGTGAGTGTTGGGGGGGTGGGTGAGTGTTGGGGAGGTTGGGTGAGAGTTGAGGTGGTGGGTGAGTGTTGGGGGGGTGAGTGAGTGTTGGGGGGGTGGGTGAGTGTTGGGGGGGTGGGTGAGTGCTGAGGGGGTGGGTGAGTGTTGGAGGGATGGGTGAGTGTTGGGGGGATGGGTGAGTGTTGGGGGGATGGGTGAGTGTTGGGGGGGGTGGGTGAGTGTTGAGGGGGTGGGTGAGTGTTGGGGGGGGTGGGTGAGTGTTGGGGGGGTGGGTGAGTGTTGGGGGGATGGGTGAGTGTTGGGGGGGTGGGTGAGGGTTGAGGGGGTGGGTGAGTGTTGGGGGGGGTGGGTGAGTGTTGGGGGGGTGGGTGAATGTTGGGGGGGTGGGTGAGTGTTGAGGGGGTGGGTGAGTGTTGGGGGGGGTGCGTGAGTGTTGGGGGGGTGGGTGAGTGTTGGGGGGGTGGGTGAGTGTTGGGGGAATGGGTGAGTGTTGGGGGGATGGGTGAGTGTTGAGGGGGTGGGTGAGTGCTGAGGGGGTGGGTGAGTGTTGAAGGGATGGGTGAGTGTTGAGGGGGTGGGTGAGTGTTGGGTGGGTGGGTGAGTGTTGGGGGGATGGGTGAGTGTTGAGGGGGTGGGTGAGTGTTGAGGGGATGGGTGAGTGTTGAGGGGGTGGGTGAGTGTTGAGGGGGTGAGTGAGTGTTGGGGGGGTGGGTGAGTGTTGGGGGGGTGGGTGAGTGTTGGGGGGGTGGGTGAGTGTTGGGGGGGTGGGTGAGTGTTGGGGGGGTGGGTGAGTGTTCAGGGGGTGGGTGAGTGTTGGGGGGGTGGGCGGGTGCTGTGGGGAGGGGGGGACGTGGGATGTCAAAGGGGAACCGACCCCGTCACAGGAAGCGCTGCTGATGGGATGGTCGCGGGAGGGACGCGAGGCGGGGGGGGATTGTGGGGGGGGGGGGGAGTTTGGGTTTATGGGGTCGAGGTGACACCTTGACTCGACATGCCTCACGGGGCCGCGGCCCGCCAGACACCCCCCACCCCCCACGACCCCGATCTCACCCCCCCCCCCCCCAAACTCACAGCTCCCACCCCCTCCCTGCACAGTCTCAACCTCCCCCACTCCCCTTCAGGTGTTCCCCGACACATCCAGACTCTCACCCCCCCCCCAAGGCGCGTCACCGAAATTCCCCCCCCCCACAGCCCCCTCCCCCACTCCCTCTGCCCCCCCCCCCCCACATCCCCACCCCCCACTCCCTCTGCTTCCCCCCACAGCCCTCCCCCCAATCCCTCTGCCCCCCCCCCACAGCCCCCCCCCCGCTTACGCAACTCGCGGGGCACAGAGCGTGGCGCTGTGGCCGCACGCGGCCCGGATGAGCGGGAGCCGGCGCGGCCCATTTGAGACTCTTTCATCCTCATGCCGCCCCCCCTCCTCCTCCATCGCGCCCCCAACCCCCCCGAGGCAGAGTTATTTATTTATTTATACTCTTTGGGTCTTTGGGTGAAGTCACGTCGTTAGAAAGATAATAGACGACGCCGCAGGCAATCGCCTCTCGCCTGAAGACGGCCGCCTGTGTTGCGATCGACAGGTCGTGATCGATTATTTTTCTACCCACGTAACTTCATCCAAAGCCCCAAAGAGTTTCATGAATTCCTGCAGTCACGAAAGCTTTAAATCATCATTTTAGTTACTTACACGCGGATTCTTCGGTTTCCGCGCCGCGTCTCGCCGCGCATAAATCACGCTCCTGTGTCGTGCGGTAGGGCAGCGGGGAGGGTGGGGGGGGGCAGCAAGAGGGGGCGGCGGGGGGAGAGGGGGGGTGAGGGCAGCAAGGAGAAAGGGGGGGGCAGCAATGGGGGGGGGTAACAAAGAGAGGGGAAGGGCAGCAAGGCGGAGTGAGAAAAGTAGGGGCAAGTGAGGGTGAGCAGGGGGGCGTGGGGGCAGCAAGGGAAGGGATCTGTCGGGGCCCCGCGCGTGACACGGGGCAGGTCGGCAATGGGAGCGAGGAGGAAGGGGGGTCGGTAGGGGGCCACGGGGCAGAGGGCCAGGACAGGGGCAGGTGGGCGGTGGGGGGGTCACCCACGTGACAGCGCGGGCTCGGTGTGGGGAGGCACGGGGGGGGGGAGTGGCCGAGTGTCTCCCACGTGCTCGTGTTTACACACCGCGCCAGGTACTCCTTTAAGGCTGAGTCGATCTAGGGGAGTTCCACGACCGGTCCACGTTATCGCGCACTGTTGGTGTTTGGGCACCA